TATGAAGGGATTCAGGGAAACCGGCAGGCCGGACTTGAGTCCTGGAGATGGGAAGTACAGTGCCTGCACTCTGAAGGAGGGGTGTTAATGTTGCAGTTTAAAAACTGTAGTGTAAAGCACCCTTCTGGCAAGACAGTGATGGAGTGAATGATGGTGAAAGTTTTTCTTTTTCGGGCCACCCTGCCTTGGTGGGAATCGGCCAGTGTGATAATAAAAAAATAAAATAGGCTCATTAGAGTCAGTCCCAAATCCTTCAAAATCCCTCTTGTCGACACAATCTGGCCACAATTTTCTCCAGGCAGAGTTCAAAGTCCTGGTAGTCACTCCCTCCCAAGCCATACCTATAAGGGTTATGCAGTGGAGGATGCTGAAGTGTTCTCTCCAAAATTCCCTTAGGGTCAAGTGAGTGTCTGTGGTCACAGTCAAGCACCTGTGAAACATTGCTTTTGTGTAGAGTTTTTTAAAGTTTGCAATAACCTGCTGGTCCATGGGTTGGAGGAGAGGAGTGGTATTCGGGGGCAAGAACTTTACTGTGATGAACCCAACCTCCTCGAAAATTAGGTCATCCAAGTTTGGAGGATGAGCAGGTGCATTGTCCATTACTAGCACACACTTGAGATCCAATTTCTTTTCCAGGAGATACTCCTTCACACTAGGGCCAAACACTTCATTGAACCACTCGACGAAAATTTCCCTTGTGACCCATGCCTTACTATTAGATTTCCAAAACACACACAATTTACTCTTCATAACATTGTTTTTCCTGAACACTCTGGGATTTTCAGAATGGTACACTAGTAATGGCTTCACTTTGAAATCCCCACTAGCATTAGCACAGAACATTAGCGTCAGCCTGTCTTTCATAGGCTTGTGTCCTGGCATTGCCTTTTCCTCTTGTGTAATGAAGGTCCTCTTTGGCATTTTCTTCCAAAAGAGGCCTGTTTCATCACAATTGAACACTTGTTCAGGTTTCAGTCCTTCAGCCTCTATGTACTGGAATTCATGCACATATTTTTCAGCCGCCTTGTGGTCTGAACTGGCAGCCTCACCATGCCTTACCACACTGTGTATGCCAGTACGGTTCTTAAATCTCTCAAACCAGCCTTTGCTGGCCTTAAATTCACTCACTTCACCACTATTTTCAGGCAATTTCTTTACCAAATCTTCATGCAACTGCCTAGCCTTTTCACAAATAAACGAAGTCATAAGAGTATCTCCTGCTAATTGTTTCTCATTTATCCACACCAGTAATAACTTCTCAACCTCTTCCAGTACTGGTTATCTCATTTTTGTCAGCATAGTTACTCCCTTTGCAACAACAGCATCCTTTATTTCCTTTTTCTTGGCCACTATAGAACATAAGGTTGTGTAGGGTTTCTTATACTGTACATCCTGGACAGTTCGGCCACACTTGTACCACTTTCATATTGTTCAATGATGGTTTTCTTAAATTCAATCATATTTCTCACCTTCTTTACCACAGGCTTGGCACTAGGAGCTTTCTTCGGAGCCATGGTAGCTTATTTAGTAGTATTTGCAAGCACTAAAATAAATGGAATATTATGAAATATTTCGCTGGAGCACATGAGGGGACCTTTGCTCACTGGTAAACAATGCCAGACTGGCTGCCACCCTGGCTCACGCCGTGCGTACGCGTCCCGGACGAACTACGACTCGCTAGTCAACCTATGAAAAGCGAGTCCATGTTTTTACGAAAATACCCCTATGATTTGCGAATTTTATGATTGCCGGAAACTACGAAAAGCGGGGGACCACTGTATTACTGACAACTGGTACACAAGCCTTTACTCGGTGATTTCTTGCAAGTGAACATGACAGATGTGTGTGGCACAGTGTGTTGAAATTGTAAGCATATGCCTAGGTTCGACGCTGGCACTTGTAGAGGTGACGTTTAGGTGTCTGCTGCCAATGACATCATGGCATTTCGGTGGCATGACAAATGTGATGTCACACTGTTGACATCAGTTCACAGACACGAAATGTCAGACACTGGCAAGCAGAATAGAGAGACCAATGAACCCATTGTAAAACCTGCAGCTGTGATGGATTACAATCTCAACATGCGCTTAGTGGACAAATGTGACATGCAGATTGGGTTTGCTGATTGTGTTCGCTAGAGTTACAAGTGATATATAAAGCTCTTTTTCCATCTTCTAGACATTTCCATGCTGAATACTTATGTATAAGTTGAAGATCAACAGCAAACCCAAATGTAGTGAATTTTGTTTGTCAGTCATCAGACAAATACTTTTCAACTACCAAGGAACAACACTTGCAATAGACCAGTGCCCATGAAATTATCAACACATGCCCTCTCGTCTGAGGCCTGGTGATCACTATCCCATACCACTGCCTGCTACTGCTTTCAAGGAAAATGTTCAGAAGAGGTGTTTTGTCTGTGGACATACCACAAAATGCCCACAAAAATGCAGAGACACTCATTTTATGTGTGAGGAGTGTAAAACACCATTGTGCTTATATGCATGTTTCAATGAATTCTACAAGCTGCAGTAGTTCTAGAAAAGTGTCCAGTGATTGTACATATGTATATATATTATAGAACAATCGTAATAAAAATTTTTTTATATTGTTTGTGTAAACAAGTTTTGTAAACATTATGATGATACTAGTGTTTTTCCTATAATTGTGTTACATTCAATGAGTGTATATATGAACATTGCACCTTACTTTGGTCTCACAGGCCACAAAAGTTGTGAAAAAATAAAATTGTGAAAAAAACAAGAAACCTTTGAGTAAAAGTAAACCAAATTTTACCGGGTGAGCGGCAGTCGCCGCTGTTGCCATATGCGGCTCATTTTCTGCAAACTTCACGCCTCTATATCTCGGTAAGTACTGTTGGCAAAAAATTTTTTTTGGACTAAAAAATCAGAAAAATAATCTTAACATTTTCACAAGAAAATTTTTTTTTTTTTTCGAATATTTTGTGACACCAGGAGACACATCAGGATTGGGGCTTGCGACAGTCAAAGGGTTAAAAACCACTTACTCAACTACAACTAAATAAATACTGAAAACTGAATCTCATAAAGGTATAACCTGTGACCCTATCAAACTATGTTTTTTTTAATTACCTTACCCAGTAGAATACCCCATTCTCTTGAATGCACAGTAACTCATCTAATGACCATAAGACCTGTTTCTGCACTACAAATCATTGATTTTACTCGGCCTGATTCAATTATATTATACATTGTTATGCTACAAATTTGTACAACTTAAATGCTTTTTATTCAAAATACTCATTTGTACTTCATGTTGTATTTTGTTTACTGTAATTTTTACCACTAAATATATCATTGCTTAGTTAATCTTAAGTTAATTTTAAGCCTGCCCATAATGCTCTGCATACAAGGGGCTTTTGGCATGTACACCCAGTCACTATATTTGTTCGTACACCTATGTATCATGTCCAAATAAAAAATAAATAAAAATAAATAAAAAAATAAATAAATGAAGTGAAAGCTTCTTTCAACAAACCAGCCATATCCCACCAAGGCAGGGTGGCCCTAAAAGAAAAACAGAAGTTTCTCTTTTTAAATTTAGTAATTTATACATGAGAAGGGGTTACTAGCCCCTTGCTCCCGGCATTTTAGTTGCCTCTTATGACATGCATGGCTTACGGAGGAAGAATTCTATTCCACTTCCCCAGGGAAAATAAAGTGAAATATATAGGGAAAATAGGGTTATTTTTTAATCTTCTCAAAATTGACACCCTTTCCTTTCCCCCTTTTTCCCTCCTAGAAAAGAGTAGTACTGTATTGTAGAAGTTATCTATCTACTGGGAATCATATTAAGCAAAGTGGTACACCATTCCTCACTGATAACTGAACAGTGAACTCCTTGGTGATTGCCTAAACCATCAGCACTTGAGACCCTTAAAATGCACTTAGTTACTGAAGTTTCAGCTTGGTTGTAGGTGTGTCAGTGTAGGGACTTGTTGCAGTATAACCTGTGCTGCTCCTGAACCCCAGTAACAACCTGAGAGAATCTACACAACTCAGTATTTTCTTTAGTGTTGTCACATTTTTGCTTTCTTCTGACTTCTAGGAAGAAGGTATGTAGACATGCGAGTAGTTCATAAAAACAGTACTGTCGATCCTAAGTTTACTGAAGTGTATGGGCCTGCCACTATAATTGTGAGTGTTGTTCAATGTTCTTAATATTCCTTGTTATTAATATACAGTACTTGTAAATATGTGTTGGTTTAAAAAAATTAACTGCACATTATACCTCACAATTCTTCAGCATTTTGAGGCAGTGCTGAATTAAAAGGGAAGGGAGCTGCTGAGGCACTTGTCCTGGGATCTCACACACAAGGTGCTGATAAAACAAGGTTCGAGATAGTCTATAAGGTAAATGGTTATAATTATAACCATAATATTTAAAGGGGTGGACCAATAAGCCAGCAGGTCTCGGTCAAATGACCAAAAGGTCCAGCTGTGGGTCATCATATGACTAAGAACCTCAACAGGAAACACTTGTGCTGTTTCCTGACAAATTTTACCTAACCTAACCTGTACGCAGAAATAATACTTTGAGAGATCATATTGACACACACAAATATCCATGCACACACATGTGCTCTTACATAAAACTATTTGTAATTTGACAATGAAATTTTAGTAGGAGGTTACTTGCCCCGGGGCTTTCACAACTCATAATCCTGGGCTGTTATGAGGAAGCACCTAAGCCCCACTGTAAGGGAAACTAAAAGATGATAATAGCCAAAAATAAATATTTTCCCAAGAAGGGTGCCTTGATGCTGGTGAAGAGCTCTTGATTTAGAGAATTGGAGCTACCTTCCTTTTCCTTGCTGCTTTATGGCCTTTTCAGGTTTAGCACCTAATGATAAAAATAATCACCCTCAATCATTATTTGTGTTAGGAAATTTGTTGATTTTTTTTGTCAGTTTGATTAAGTTATTTACTACTTGTAATGGATACATATTATTTTCACAGTATTTCAGGTTCAGTGTAGGTGGTATGACAGATGTTGCAGAAATCAAAGGTCATAGACGAACATACGTAGGAGCTATGCCTGGCAAGCTCATCCAGGTAAGCTCCATTTATGCATTATGTTTAGCTTTTTATATCTGTCTTATTAATGATGAAATAGGAAAATTCAGTACTAAATTTATCATGAATTTCTCACTGAAAAATCAGTGTATAAGGAATTTATTACTTTCAAGGTGATGCTCAAAGATATTTAAATTTCTTTACTTTTTTATGACTGGGTAACTTCTGTTGAATTAAACTTTTATTACATTCTGATCTGATTTAAGAGGCATCTGTGAAGACAAAATAAAATGTAATCTGCGGAGGCAAAAAACAAAGGGAAATGTTCTAGAGTATAGTGGTGCCAACACTCTTATGTGTGTGAAGCATGGGTTTTAAACATTGCAGCAAGGAGGCTGGAGGCAGTGGAAATAGATGTTGTGTCTGAGGACAGTGCATTGTGTAAATACTATACAAAGAATTTATTGTTTGGAAATTAGAAGTAGGTGCTGGATTACTAAAAGTGTTATCTAGAGGGCTGAAGAGGGGTTGTTGAGGTGGTTTGGTTGTTTAGAGAGGATGGGGCAAAATGGGATAACTTGGAGAGTGTATAAATCTGTAGTGGAGGGAAGGTGGGGTAGGGTTCATCCTAGAAAAGGTTGGTGGGCAGGGATAGAGGTTTTGCGAGTGAGGGCTTGGACATCCAACAGGTGTGTGTGCGTGCATTAGATAGGAGTTAAGGCAAGTGGTTTTTATGACAATGTGCTGTGAGCAAGGTAACATTCATGAAGGGATTCAGGAAACTGGTTAGCTGAACTTGAGTTCTGGAGGCAGGTAGCACTCTGAAGGAGGGGTGAAGATATTACAGTTTGGAGGAGTATGTGAATTGGAATGTCAGCATGCATCTGGCAAGACAGTGATGGTGAGTGTTTTTTCTTTTTCCGGTCACCCTTCCTTAATGGGAGGTGGCTGGTGTATTGAAAGTAAAGTAGAGTAAGTAAAGTAAAGTTTATTTCTTTGTAAAGGTTACAATGTGTAATTACAATTTTGATTTGCTAAGTACAAAGATAGCCACTATCATGCCAAGGTATTTTGAGCAGACTAATCCTAATACACAGTAACTAAGTAAAACTAGATAAGATAATAATACATAGTAACTGTACTTAAAACTAGACAAGAAGAAGTGGTTAACTGTTTTACAATCTTATTTAAACTTAATACAAATGAAAGGTAGTAAGGTGGAGTAGGGTTTGGTAAAATAACCTTTAAATTGCACACAGAATCTGCCTTACAAGTAATGATTCAGGTGGTAATATTTTATGGATTGGCAGAATTAAAAGCCAGGAGGTCACATAATAAAACTACATAATTAGCAGATGTTTTGGTTGATTTGGTTAATATTGAGAGATAAGATGATTTTATGGATTGGCAGAATTAAGAGCCTAGAGGTCACATAATAAAGCTAGTTAGCAGATGTTTTGGTTCATTTGGTTAATATTGAGAGATAAGATGATTTTTTAGCAAGGTCCTAAATTTATAAGCTGTCAAGGGATCCTTGACCTATTCCAGTAGCAAGTTCCAGATCTTCGGGCCCTTTATGTGCATAGTGTTCTTGCATAGTAAGAGACTGACTCGAGGGATGTTAAAAAGTGCCTTATGCCTTGTATTGTGACTGTGGATTCTGTTGTAACTGTCAAGGAGCAGTTTTAGGGGAGGGTTTACAGTGGAGTTTAATGTTCTGTATATGTAGTAGGCACAATAATATGAGTGTATGTCTTGTATATTTAGCAAGTTGAGTGTTTTTAAAAGTGGTGGGGTATGCTGTCTAACACAGGAGCTGGTTATCACCCGCACAGCAGCTTTTTGTTGGATTATTAAGGGTCTAAGGTGGTTGGCTGTTGTTGAGCCCCAGGCACAACACCATAGGTGAGGTAAGTATATATTAGAGTGGTATAGGGTAAGGAGAGTCGTTTGTGGTACATAGTATCGTATCTTGGAAAGGATTCCTACTGATTTGGAAATTTTCTTGGTTATTTGATGGGTTTGGGATTGAAATTTAAGATTACAGTCAAGGAGAAGACCTAGAAATTTGCCCTCCATGTGTCTTGATATAGGGGAACAATTTTTCAATATGTTAAGGTGGATATTTAAGGCTCTGTTGCCAAACAGCATGAAGTATGTTTTGTCTATGTTGAGAGTGAGTTTGTTGGTCATCATCCAAGTACAGTGGAACCTCTACTTGCGAGTTTAATCCATTCCATGACCATGCTCGTAACTGGATTTGCTCATTTGCAGAGTCAATTTTCCTCGTTTAAATTAATTGAAATGCAATTAATCCGTTCCAGTGGAATTCTGTACTTCAATAATTTCGCTAATATCAACTCTACGGCTTATTTATCCATCTCACTTCATCTAATATGACATAATAAACAATATAAATAACATAGAAACCTGATATATACTCTAAAATGAGTAAAATATGTCATTCATGTAGTGGTATGGGCGGTGTCGGCGGTGGATGAGAGTTTGTCTGGAGACCGGGCAAAATACAGTGGTCCCCTGGTATATGATATTAATCCGTTCCTGAGAGCTCATCGTATGCCAAAATTATCGAAAGGCGAATTAATTTTCCCCATAAGAAATAATGGAAATCAAATTAATCCATGCAAGACACCCAAAAGTATGAAAAAAAAATTTTTACCACATGAAATATTAAGTTTAATGCACACAAACTGAAGAAGACATGCACAGTTTGTAGTACTCTACTAACAATAGAATACATGACACTTACCTTTAATGAAGATCTGGTGATGATTGATGGGATGGGAGGAGGGGATAGTGTCGAACTTATTGTTTAGAAGGGGAATCCCCTTCCATTAAGACTTGAGGTAGCAAGTCCTTTTCCGGGGTTACTTCCCTTCTTCTTTTAATGCCACTAGGACCAGCTTGAGAGTCACTGGACGCACAGCATATCTGTCAATAGAGGCCTGTACCTCTCGTTCCTTTATGACTTTTCTAAAGTGGTTCACAACATTGTCATTGTAATAGTCACCAACACGGCTTGCAATAGCTGTGTGAGGGTGATTGTCATCCATAAAGGTTTTCACCTTTGTCCACATTGTACACATTTCTTTAATCTGTGAAGTAGGCAACTTCCTCAATTTCTCTATCCCCTCCTTCGAAGCAGTTTCCTCAGGTCTGGCCTCTTGCTGTTGAAGATGATCTAGCAGCTCATCAGTGGTTAGTTCGTCATTGTCCTCCACCACCAACTCTTCCACATCCTCCCCCTAACCTCCAACCCCAAGGACTTCCCCAATGCCACAATGGTTTCCTCAACTGGCATATGATTCCCAGGGTTAGCCTCAAACCCTTCAAAATCCCTTTTGTCTACACATTCTGGCCACAGTTTCTTCCAAGCAGAGTTCAAGGTCCTCTTAGTCACTCCCTCCCAAGCCTTACCTATAAGGTTTACACAATTGAGGATATTAAAGTGATCCTTCCAAAACTCTTTTAGAGTCAATTGAGTGTCTGTGGTCACTTCAAAGCACCTTTCAAACATAGCTTTTGTGTACAGTTTCTTGAAGTTGGAAATGACCTGCTGGTCCATGGGCTGCAGGAAAGGAGTGGTATTAGGAGGCAAAAACTTGACCTTAATGAAGCTCATGTCCCCAGAAAGTCACTCTGCCAAGTCTGTAGGATGACCAGCGGCATTATCTAATACCAGGAGGCACTTAAGGTCTAATTTCTTTTCAATTAGGTAATTTTTCACATTGGGGGCAAATGCATGGTGTAACCAGTCATAGAAAAAGTCCCCTAGTGACCCATGCCTTACTGTTTGCCCTCCACAGCACACACAAATTAGCCTTGAGGACATTGTTTTGCCTGAATGCTCTGGAAGTTTCTGAGTGATACACCAATAAAGGCTTCACTTTGCAATCACCACTAGCATTGGCACACATCAGAAGAGTAAGCCTGTCTTTCATAGGCTTATGTCCTGGGAGTGCCTTTTCCTCCTGAGTAATGTAGGTCCTGCTTGGCAATTTCTTCCAAAACAGGCCTGTTTTGCTACAATTAAACATTTGTTCAGGTTTCAGTTCTTCACTGTCTATGTAATCCTTGAATTCCTTCACATATTTTTCAACTGCTTTTTGGTCCGAACTGGCAGCCTCACCATGCCTAATCACACTATGTATGCCACTACGATTCTTAAATCTTTCACACCAACCTTTGCTGGCCTTAAATTCACTCACATCACCACTAGTTGCAGGCATTTTTTCAATTAAATCCTCATGCAACTTCCTAGCCTATTCACAAATGATCGCTTGAGAGATGCTATCTCCTGCTATCTGTTTTTCATTTATCCACACTAATAACAGTCTCTCAACATCTTCGAGTACTTGCGATCTGTGTTTCGAAAACATACCTGCACCTTTTGCAACAACAGCTTCCTTGATTGCTGTTTTCCTGGCCACTATAGTAGCGATGGTTGATTGGGGTTTTGTATATAACCTGGCCAGCTCCGACACACGCACTCCACTTTCGTACTTGGCAATTATCTCTTTCTTCATTTCAGTAGTCATTAGCACCCTTTTTCTCGAAGGGTTGGCACTAGAAGCTTTCTTGGGGCCCGTGGTGACTTATTTTGCAGAAACAAGCACCAAAAACACTGTGATAATATGGAATGTACTGAATGTATGCTTAGATTTGAGCACACTGGCTGGCTTGTAAACACTGGCACACACAGGGCAGTTCAGGCCACATGTGGACACGTCTTGGACAAATCGCGTGTGGCGGGTTTTTTAATGAGTGGCGAGGCAAAATTTTTGCGTTAAAATATATCGAATACCGAATTTAACGGATGCCAATGCCATCGAATACCGGGGGTCCACTGTACTTCATGAATAATTTCGCTAATATCATCTATACGGCTTATTTATCTATCACAGTTCGTCTAATATGACATAAACAATATAAGTAACATAGAAACAAGATATATACTCTAGAATGAATAAAATGTCATTCATATAGTGGTATGGGCGGTGTCGATGGTGGACGAGAGT